CATCATCTTTTCATAAACTATCTCGTGTCTTGATGGTGGTGGTTGCTAAAATAAATAGGAATACCAAGAAAAAAAAAGTAAAAAAAGAAAAAAAAAACTTGATAGTCTAGCAGAAATGATCGAGGGAATAAGAATCTGATTTGGAACCCCACAACATGCATACGTTATAGCAAAATGATAATTAAAATCAAAATTTTGGCAAAAAAATATATGGCCTGTTCATAATAGGGCAGAGCAAACAATTCTTAAAATTAGCTTCACTAGATGAACTTGTAAGAATCAAGTCAGACCTGTCTTTGAAGATGCCAAAAGGCCAAACTCTGCTGATGAAATCGATCAATAGTATATTGAAAGTGTGCGATGATGAGGCAAAGCGGAGTTTCGAACTCCATAGGACCAAAGCCAAAGATCCATTTCTATACTGAGCACCTGTGCAGTGAAATATAACTCACCAATTAGCTGTTGAAAATAATAGATCTATGGATAATAAACAGGACCATTTTCATCCTGAATTGTCAATTTATGTCGGCAATTTAGATACCTGTTTTTTGAACTTTGATTTGATGAGCTCTCTCATTTTCTCCACAGCATAAATAGAGCAAGCACGTATCTCAACTTCTTCCTCACTACCAGCGCAAACTTCAATTTTTGAGTCAATTGAGTCGGACAAAGCTGAACTGTACTTCAGTATGCCAAGCTGCCTCAGGACAGCAGGGATGATATAGTCGGCAAATATTGTGATGGAACTAATGTCATTGAACTTTCCGTATCCTTCACCCTTGAAGGCACCCCATAAATCAGCAACAAAGATCTGTGCCCTCTTGTATAAGAAAACCTGGTGACCTTTGTAGAGAGAATGATCTCGAAAACCTAGTTTCCATCATACAAAGTCAATAAGATAAACTCTAAAAGGACAAGAGAAACATAAAAAAGCAGTAAAAGCAGATGTTTTAGTATATGGTCTTGGTGGAATGGCTTTCGAGCAAAATTCTTGCCAATGAAGTTAATAAGATAAAACTCTAAACAGACAAGAGAAACATAAAAAAGCAGTAAAAGCAAATGTTTTAGTAGATGGTCTTGGTGGAATGGCTTTCGGGCAAAATTATTGCCAATGACTCTTGAGGCTTTAGGTGTTAGCATCAAATAAGCATAGATATGACACACAAGACTACTGCCAATCGAATTAACAAGCATATGAAAAAAATATAAATTTTTTTTTAAGACATAAAGTACAAATTATAGGTCTGAAAGTTTCAAACATAGAAAGACAGGAGGAAAATACAACCAGATTTGTTTAAGACATGTTCGATAGTTACATTTCACTTCCCAACAAGTTCCACCTGTGCTATACATGATCTTATGTAAATTCCATTGTCCTTTTAGCTATCGATTTCCTGTCTTGGAGTCTCTCAAGATTTTTACGTCAGTAATTTATAATCCTATGGACACTCGGATAATTTGAAGGATGCTGAACTTTTCAGTTCATAGATTAGTTTATTAACAGTGACATTCAAACAAAAGAAAAAACTGTTGAAATAAATAGCCTAAACTGGCAATGTTTGTTTTTCATGATCATGAGCTTGGAACATTGCATTCAAATGCCTAGTGTGGAAAAGCAAAAGAGTCACTCATCAAAAATACTATCCCTCAAAAAATCAATTCATATTAGTAGGCAAAGATGCATCTAGCTATAGATGATGTTCTCCTTTACAAGATAAATGGCCTAAACAGTTCGTATATTCAATGTTACAAGATTAGTGCACAGCATATATTTCTTTCTGACGCTTAAATAAATGATATAACACTAATAAAAAAATATTAAAAAAGAATAATTCATGCTGATAGAAAAAGAAGCATTAAACATGTGCATGACAAATTACAGAAAAATGAAATTAGTATGATTCATCAGCTTACAATTGTACAATTAATATATATATATATATATATATATATATATATATATATATATATATATATATATATATATATATATATATATATATATATCTTGACTACTGCAGGAACTTCTGCTATCGTAGCAAAACATAAAGATTCTAGTTGATGATTATGTGTTTTATTACATCAACTACCAGCAAAGTTGTGTGTAATAATTGAAATTACCAGCTTAACAGACGAAAGATGAAAGAACAGCAGCAGCTTACCAGGAAAGTTGCTTGTAATAATTGAAATTAAAGATGCAGCAGAATTTTTGGATGCCTTAACAAGATTAGCTGCCTCTCCTCCAAAGTTTCTCTCAAGTTCCAGACCTACCTGAAAGAATTAAAGAAAAGAAGGCAGAAATGATTGTTAGCTAAACAATCTTCAAGATAATTTTGTGTTCTACTAGAAATGGAAAGTAATGTGACCAGAAAATTAGAGACCAAAAGAAACACAGGAAACCTATAACAAGGACCTTTTAAGCATGAGGATGAACAATGAAAAACAAAAACAGTTTTACAACACCGGTGTCACAACAATTCCAAAAAATCTGCAACATGCTTAATTTAAATTAGTCGGCAAAGAATATTACCTCGTGCAGCAAGCGAACTCGCTCCTCTTCTAGTGGAAGTGGGCGTGACCAATTCAATAGTTCACGCAGTTGGGGACCTAGTATATAAAAAACAAGTTCCATAAACTGTTTACTGCACTAGAACATCATATTTTCTAACATAAAGAAAACACTACAAGAATAAGAAGTTAGATTTAAAGAATGAAAACTCTGAGCTACTATGTTTTAGAAATATAAGCAGCAAGAACACAAAGTAATACCAGTGTACATTTGTAAACGATTTGCATCAAGGGCATATTTATCTTTCTGCAGTGAAGCCTTTAAGCCTGATGCTAAGTGATCATAGATTAATTCTTCATCTGCTTAGACAAAATAATGGGAGCTTAACATCAATAAAATCTTGTTGGACAAAATGCATAACATAAAAGGCATGTATCACGGAATGCTCAAAAAATCAAACAAAGACATCATGGAAGCATCCCACTTGCAAGGAGAATCTCATCGAAGACAAATCAGTATCATACTACACTAAACTATTTCATGCCCTTGAACATAGTTGAAGCCAAGAAAAAACAAATCAGTTCATTCAAAAATATTCAGTTATTAGATACCTTTAAGTCACATTTTCCATGCCCAGTGATACTTAAAAAATTGCTTTTCTTTATTCATGGTTGTGCGATTACTTTACCCTAATAAAATTACATAAGAAATTGCCTCTGGTTGACCTTGTTCACACATCTTGCAAATGGTATTCAAAATTTATGAAAGAAATATAGTTAAATTCTTTTTCTCTTGAAGATGTATATCATTACATGTAACAACTAAATTCCACATTCGTTGTAAAAACTAACCAACATAATCAACATATTCAAGGAAGAATAATAGAAGTACATAGAAGAACACAGAAAACAGTAAATGATACCAAAGACATGTAAGAGCATTTTTTATCATGGTTCCATCATGTATAACATGAATAGAGCACACCTAGATGTACTCAAGAACATGTTTTAATATCAACTTAATACTATTGTTGCTGAAAACTTAAAGTACACAACTTAGAAAAATGGAGCTAAAGGAAGTTTTGGCCGTAGATGATCAAGTTAATCAATTTTCCTATTAGATTCCTTTAGAAAGATTACTAGAAGAAAAGAAAACAAAGGGTCAAAGCACATAGATTTAGCTTAGATAGTGACATTTGTGACAATTACAAATAAATGCTTCTTGTTATTAAGTCCCACATGTAGTTCAATGAGCTCATGGCAACACTGAGAACTTCAATGATAGGAAAAGAACTGATTGAAACTGGAACTAGGAGGATGGTGCCTTTTAAACATTTGAAGAGGCAAATCATGGAAGGCCAAAACTAGAGCTCACTGATTCATTACTAGATAAAATTCTGTTCTTCACAGAAAAGCTTTAGGAGATATCATATCATGGCTTTTCTTAAGTTGCTTGCAGAAAAATTTCATCGAGATGGGGAATCATGCATCAGAGATCAATAGTACTTTGGCTAATAAAGAAATTCATCCTGCAATTTCACAAAAACAACAAGCATTAACCAACAGTGAAATGACAAAAGAAACTATAGAATCATCTCAGAGCATAAGGTATTCAAATACAGAATTATATTCATCATTGGACATGAACATTGAAACACTGCAGGAAGTTATAAGCTAAAAAGTTGAAATCATTTATTTATCAGAGCAATATGATCAAAGTACTGACAACATATGACCAACCAAAACTTGAATAAAACTTGCATATTACAGCAGCTAACTTGTTGAGGCATAAAAAGAACATTACAATAGCCACAAGCAGAAACTGAGAGGAAGAAAGAAAAGAATATTATAATAGTCGGTGTACTATGTTTAAGTTAAGGATGGCATACCTGGCCAAAAGCAGAAGTTGAGTGCATCAAGAACAAATAAGTATTGAACAGTTAGTGGCCCACCATCGAAGTAGTGAATCCCTTCAAAATCCCATTTCACTTTCGGAACTGAACCTTGAATACTATCCACAGCTTTCTCAAGCTCTAAAAGAAAAAGGAGTAAGAATAATAAGGAAGAAAACTTAAACTGAAGTTCAACAAACTAATGATGACATGAAAGGTCATCCCAGTAAGAAATATGGTGTGCATGCTACTCCCTGGTCAGCATGATATGCACCAAAAGAATCTTTGGCATGTTGGTATAATCATGGTGTATATATATGGTGCCTACAGGGTGCAAATGTGGATATCACATCTTGTAATTTTTCTTTTCTTCTTTCCAAGAAAAATCAAAATGTGATTTATTTTGACATGTGTAACCTATATAGGTTATTATTTGTCCTTCCGAGCCAATAGGCAAGACATGGATACCTCACTAGAATGAGTAATACACAAATGCACCTGTGCACTTGATGTGTATGTGCCAAATATTGTTAAAATCGGTAAAGTACAAGAACAAAGTTAGATTTAGATATTCGATCTTGTACCTCGGTAAGTGACTGGAATCAGATGACAATCAACATGAACAAACTAGAATAGCCCTACAACAATGATCAATACAAAAGTAAAGGGAAGTAATATGGTAGCAACTGTTGAATCAGAACAACTCTTTGAGCTCAATCACCTTGAACCCCGACAGTAGGAGATGTTTCAACATAACCCAAGGTTATATTAAAATTTGTAGCAACTTTATCAAGGCCTAAACATTCTAATCCTGCCAGAGCCCCAACCACGATGCATGAAAATTCAAACACTTAGAAATCAACAATTCCAATCAAACAGTGTATGTTATTTGTAGGAAATTTATTAAGGCAAAATTCCCATCGAGTATTCATTGATGTTGCTACCGCTGTTAACTTTGATGCCACAGCAATCAAGTGAACAGGGTCTTGTTAGACGTTCATCTACTAAATCGGATATACAAAACCAAGGAGTTGGAAATAGTTGATTTTTTTATATATTTTATTGCGTCAATGCAACATTCATATACATGGGTGCAGTCAAAGGACAATGTGGTAAAGCGTTATTTGGCTTTGGCCTTCAGATATGACAATGGTATCCTCCAAACCTTTCGACAAAGAAGAAAGGATAACTACACTGGACAGTTCAAACTTATCACATGGCTTGCTTACACCATAACAAAACCATCTCCATTCATGTTTAATGATGGACGTTTATGCATTTTGCTATGTCAATGATAAGAAAGAATGGAAGGAAAGGGGAAAAAGGAATCCTGATTACTATAATTTAAGTGTAGAAAGAAAGCCCGAGAGAGCTCAATTTGACTCCAAAAAATAATGCTACTAAAAACAAAATCCAGAGATGGAGACAGAAATCAATCACCAACACATGATTCCAAGCAACAAAACAGAATGGAAACCAGAGCAAACATCCATGACAGCAGCACGCGGATGCATTTGGGATCACTCACCCCACCATTGTTTAAAATAAAGGGCAAAAAAATCTTATCTATTCCAATTTGGATGACTGCCTGCGATAAACGCACAAAACGAGCGGAAGCAGAAACCGTACAGGACGCACGCAAAAAGACGGATTCAGTCGATCAAAATCCACCCCTACGGAACCCCAACCCTAGAATCAAGGAGAACAGAAGGGCAGGGAAGGAGAGCGCCCACCGAAAGAGTCGACCATCACATGCGTGGCGCGGTTGGCGACCCAGGCCGTGGTGGCTCTCACCTCCTCCATTTGATGCTCTTCTCTCTCTCTCTCTCTCTCTCTCTCTCTCTCGCTTTTGATCTGTCGCTCGCTTGCACGCTTTCGTTGTATGCGATGGTTTCGAATGGTGGGAGCGTCGAATCCGCCGAGATATATGGCGGCGGCGCCCGAGAGACGAAACCGGTTCTTCCTTTTTCCCTCGTAAGTATGTAGGGAAATGACCCAACTGCCCTTGATCTTTCTGTGGACTGAATGTGTTGTGAGCCGTCCATTCTGGCCCGATCCCCACCGTCTTGGGAAGTCTCGTGTTATGTCTTGCTTTTGTGGTGGGATTCTTTGGCACGTCATCGTCGTACAATAAATGGCGAGGAAATATTTTCTGCCACAGTTGGGAGGCGGCGCTTCAAAACATTTTGTAGGACGTCAACTTGTTTTGATATGAATTGGTAGAGACATCCGACTACTAACTTAGATGTTCCCAATTATCGATTTCGGTTCTATCAAATTTAAAATCAAAATTATATTCATTCGAAATTGTAAACTCTAAACTTGTAATTTCTGTTCTATCAAATCTGAATAGAATCGATTTTAATTATATAAAATTTAGAATCAAAATCGAAAAGATTCTATTCTGAGTTAGTTCGTCTCATCGGTTTCGATTGATTAAAAGAAAATTATTCTATCATATTCAAACATAAATAATTAGATCATCGATTCATCAATTTCATTCATTTAGATCATCGATTCATCAATTCATAAATAAAGAAAATCATTGGGAGTGGAATGAATGAGGATCATAGTGGTGTTGTCGTATTGTTGGTGTAAAATATTTCTAGTATCATTCATTGTATAAGCACCAAAGAAACTTAAAAACTTGTTTGTGTTATTTCTGTGGTTTATTTAATGAAAGGATGACTTAAGATGACTTTACTGCGTGCGACTATGAAATGTGCTAAGTGAAGAAGATTCCTCCAAGGTGAAAAGAATAGACAGTTTAAATGAAGAAATTATTAATCTTAGACCAAAAAACGTATTCTTTATAGTTCTTTGTTTTAAAAGATTTACCATATTCGATTTGATAGATTAAACATTTTCAATTGAGATTTGATATAGATGTGATGATTATATTGATTATAAAAATCAAATGATGTAGGATCTTAGGATTGTCGTATAGTGTTAACTGATTTTTTTATTATCCGAATCGAAAGTCGAAGTCAATCGGGGTCTTCTTATACGTTTGTGTTAGTCTAATCTCAATCCATAATCAATTCATCCGACTCTTTAAACCCTGTAAAATTATATTTTTCATAAATATTCCTGTGATGTTTAAGTTAGTATGAGATTAAGAAAATGAGCTTTAAAATGGTGTTTTAGGTTTAGAAAACTTTTATTATATTGAGTTCTTAGAACCATTATTCCTATATGAACAGTGCTAATAATAGGAAATAGTTATGTATTTCTCTCTGTTTTAGTTATGATCTTATCATGTTAAGCCTAACTATTACGGTCTTAGTTAGAATTGCCTAAGGCGTGAGGCACCTTTGCGGCAAATATGTGAACTTAGCTTACGTTGCCCAAGTCGTGCTTCGCCCCTATGATTTGCATCCACAAAGATCAGCCCACTTGCAACCTCTCGCAAGTTCCGAAGAACTTGTAAAAGAGAAAGTTGATTAGTTTGAAGAACGAGCGATGAATAAGTCCCAACGTCTCGCGAAAAGGGGAAGCTTTACAAGCAATTCAGCGAGCACCTTGTGTGCACAAGAGAAAATAGGGAGAGGAGGAAAACAAGGACTTTAGAGGGTTGAACGAACAATTGCAAGTCCACAAACAGCTGCTTATCGGGTGCCGGACACGACAACAAATTCCCGTCAAGGTAACGTGCGAACTTACGAAAGGTTGTTCAAAGCCCGATACTATACTGAAGCCCCATCCAGCCTTGTGCCACTAGGGGGGTTCCCGGGTGCTAAGATGGCTGACGTTTCACGTGCAATAGCGGGCTGCAGAAATCAGCCCGTGACATGTGAAAACGGAGCTGTTTTGGGGCTGTTTTGCTCGGTTCGGTGAGTGGTCACACTGTAGCGCTGCATCTTGTTCGAACTTATATTTTTACAAGCAAAAGGACTTAAAACCAAGCCAAAACATGATGCCAAGTAACTGTGCATGTAGATTAGAGCGACGAACAGTTCATTGAACAGAGTTGTTGTGGGTGCGTGACGATCTGACACAGACTTAGCAGGTTTTGCCTAAGTCGTGCGGCACCCTCGCGCGTCCGTCCGCAAAGGTCAGCCTCCCATTGTCCCTTAGGACCAACAAAAGAGAGAACGGGTTAGAGAGAACGCCTCAATCGGGATCCACAAGCAAACATCTCCGAAAAACACTTCATAGACAATGCAAATTACAAACAAACTTTACAAGCTCTGAACAGTGGCACAACAAAGGGTAAAATGGTCCATTACAGATCAAAAATCTCTCGCACGTGTCCACATGACACAACCTTTATTTACAAGCCTAAAGAGGCCACCAACCCAACTAAAATAGGACTATTAAGCCTTCGGCCGCCCCTCTACATGTTGTACAAGGCATGAACATGCCAAAAGACACGGACATACATAAGCATTACATCAAACACCTTGTTTAGAAGTTTGTCCGTGACATTCTCTCCCACTTATTCCTTCGACGTCCTCGTCGAAGCCTTTGTGAACACTGCAACTCTTCGCCTTTGCTGAGTCTTCAATCTTCTGCTCCAGCTACAATGCGCCTCCTGGCTCCCAGCTGCTCTCCGCTGCGGTTTTTGAGTAGTCGAACCTTTGATCCGCCATACTGCTTCAACTCGCCAATGACTCTGACTCTGGTGTGGGGTTGGCTGAGTTGTGTTGATCATCGTTGATTCCTACAGATCCACCAAATGAAGGAAAAGACCATCCTTACTTCGCCAGTCTCTCAAAAATTTCACATGCTGCTTGAACTGGGTGGATGCTTGTTGGAGCTTTAACGAGCATCGTCTCGCAAACTTATGAAGTTTTGGGTCCTTCCTCCACAAAATCTGCTCATTGACTCTCCTTTCGGTTAGTTGTCACATCCAAGTAGGTTCGCATCACTTCCGCTTCCGATTGACATTTCGTTGGGAAATGAAGCGGACAATCTACTCTCAGTAGCACTGATCACCGTTGGTGAGGATTTGACAACTATTGTCTTCCATTATCTTCGAAGGGTCTTTGAACTTGTGTAGAGCTCCTCTACTGGATAGATAAGAGAACTGGGGTACTCGGTTTCGCCCATTCTCTTGAGAGTTGAGAAGGCAAAGGTTACTTGACTTCGCCCGCCTCCTCGAGGTTGTACTTCATGCATCGAGCTGGTTACTGGCCTTCGCCTGCTCTTTGCTCACACTTCTGAAGCACTTGAAGTGTTTGCACTCCTTGCGTTGAGTTAGTTACTATGATTCACCTTCTCAATGCCATTGAACTTCTGGAATGCAGGAAGTTTTCACCCCAACTTGGAGTAATTCTCTGATAGATGAGGTCGCCTTTGGGATTGTACCGTCTTCTCCATCAACCCTGCCGCCTACTCCATTGAGTAGCAAAGGTACAGCACCGCATACTGCCTGCTTCGTTCCTTGGTCGTGCACTCTTGCATGACCCGAAGTCCTTCACTTACGGCTATCTTGATGAGAAACCTGTTGACACTGGTCTTACGAAGTTTCTTGGCCTCTGCCCTTCAGCCTTGTCTTGGTACTTGGAGATTGCCTCTGCATGCTCCACCTCCTCAGCCCCTTTCACGACCAAACGCTCTCCCTCCGTGAGAGCAAGGGATCAATGACTTTCACGGAAGTCCCGCCTCTGCGGTACCATGGCGCTGCCATGCCCATGGCCCTACTATCCGTCTCCTCGCATCTGCATCCCTTTTCTTCACGATCAGTAGATATGTCTCCGTGGCACTCCTCTGAGTCCACCTCCATTCTGACTGATGCTTGATTTTGGGTAGCTAAGTCCCTCTGGACTCGTCGTCGCTTCCTCACCCCTTTCGACCCCCTGCTTCAACACCTCTGTGTTCTCCAAGCAGTCCATTTGGTCGATGGAAAGACAGACTGCAACTCCCATGCATGGTCTCTGCCATCACGTTGTAGGGTTTGCACCGATTCTGTTCTCCTTAGCTTCCTTGGTAGCAACATTCGCTTACTCGACCTTGTCCTCTAACTTGCCGGGCTCCCTTAAGCGAATATGAGCTCTGGAGCAGTCCAACTCTCCAGCTGCTTCGATCACACCTCTGCATGATCAAGTTCCTCCCATGGAACTCACTAGTACTTGCATTCGAACTTTTCCCTTGGTGGAACCCAGCCCCCATATGCTGATGACCAAGGTTTTCATCCGATGCAAAATTCGATGCACGCACGGAAGACCCGCCTCTGCGGTACCATGGCCTTCACTCCTTGAATCCATAGCCCTTCTTGCCATCGTGTTGTTCCACCACGATCCGCTGCACTATGTCGTGTGAATCGCATTGCCATGAACTGTTCCACCACGATCCGCTGCACCATGTCGCCTCCTGGTGACATCTCCATTGCATTCTGATCCTTGTAGAATAAACTCGAATTGGGAACCCTCCATATGTGTGGCCTCTGCCAATATATCGCAGGGACTCCTCCACCTTCGATTTTGTTCGCTCCTTTGGCAATCGACCTTCATCCACCCACTCTTGGGTCACACCTAAATGAAGCACCACTCTATGACAGTCAGTCGCCTAGTAGCTCCCGAAGTCCACCAACTTCACTGTAATTTGTGCACTATTGTCAGGATCCTAGGCCTCTGCCCCTACCAGCACAATCTCCACTGCGCACTGCTTCCTTCATAGCAACTCGAATGGCAACACTGTGGCATATTCTTCAAGAGTACCCGCCTCTGCGTCCTCTTGCCCCGTGCTAAGGCCCTTCTGAACCCAACTTCGCCTCCGCAAATTGAGTCACCTTAGTTCCTCCATCAAATGCTTCTCCGAGTTAAGGTGCATGTGCCGCGAAGCTCCCTTCGTCTTTGGCACCATGCAAGATGAGTCCGCTCCGTCAAAAAGAAGGACCCATGGAACAACATGATCCTACTCTTACCTCTGCAAGAGTTCATGTCCTTGACCTCTGTCTAAGAAAAGCACTGTGCCTCTGCTCCATGTTCCAACTTCTATG